TCTTCTCGTCCAATTCTTAACAAAAGGATCGAATCGGGTCGAGTTTCTCGGATGGATCTGTGTCGCGTTTGCTACAAGTGTTTTTGCTGCACCTCTTAGTATCATGGTGATTATATATGATATCGGGGTTCTTCGTACTCCTTAACTCGTATTCGATACATATTCAAATATGAAATACATAGGTTTACGTGATATTAACTTTCCTTTGTTTAATATTCTGCAGAGGCAAGTTATAATCACCAAAAGTGTGGAGTTCATGCCATTTCATTTATCTTTGATGCTCACTTTTAGTGCTGTTGCGTGGCTTTTATATGGCATATTCCTTAAGGATTTGCATATTGCGGTAACTGATGCTTCAGATACAAAAATTATACATAAATACTTCGACAAAAATAAAGAGTCGAACTAACTATATATATATATATACACACACACATTCATTCAAACCCGACTTAATGGGACTAAGCATTTGGTGTTATATTTTTGGATCCACATGCAGATCCCAAATGTTCTGGGGCTGGTCTTTGGGATACTTCAGATGGTGTTGTATGCAATGTACAGGAACCACAAGACAGCGGTTATCGAGGAGGACAAGGTACCACAACATACGGTAGATGTGAAAAAACTGGGTGCTGTCTTGAATTCTGAAGCTGAGGAAATCAGTTCATCAGAACCGCAGATCCATGATAACGATCATCATCATCATGAAACGATTGCAGAGAGCTGTAAATTACAAAACCAATCTCGTGATCATGATGATGATCACAAAATCTTCGAGTTGCACAACTCAAACCAGATGCTGGGAACATGTGAAGCTTGAACTGATCTACGTTGATGTTGATCACATGCATGTAGGGACGAACATTAGATTTTATGCTAGGGACACGAACTTAAAATAATAAAATTCTAAAATGACGAAAATAAACTTTTAATAAAAAATAAAATATATAATAATTTAAAATTTCAATGGACGACTGTCCCGTTCTCTCCTGTCCATCTCTACATGAATGCATTGAGTTCTCTCTCTCTTTGTCTCTTAATTTCTAGATTGCTCTTTCTGTTCTACTGTTATGTATATAACAATTATGTATATGTCAATATTTTTCTGCAATGCATCAACAAACTGCAACAAAAGAGATTGAACTATAAGAGACAACCAATTTTTTCTTGATCAAGAGGTGGGTCATGATGAATATTATACGAAACGTCAAACTAGCATAACAATATACAAAATCGTGCCATAAAAATATGTTGAATAATCGGATAAAGAAAACGAAAAGAATATAAGAATTTTAACGAGGTTCATCAATGTGCTTATGTTTAGGTACCCTGGGCGACGCTAGATTTTTCATTCAATTATCTTATAGGTTTTGGTTACATATCCTTTATAATAAATAAATTCTGGTACATATTTACAAAAATCACCCTGTATAATTATTTATTACAAAAATCGCTTGCCTCGATTACCTCAACTTTATATTTAAAAATACTATAGACTTATTTTTCATGATTTTTCTTTATAATTTTAATCTACTCGATTTAAGTCCAACTATATATATAATAATTATATATTTAAACTGAACATGCTCAATCAATCATTCCACTTTCTGAACCATATAGATATCTATGCTCACTAATACATGATATATATTGCCACACTTAATGATTTTTGAATTATTGATATTATTATTTAACAAGTATGCCATATCAAGCACTTTCCATCGCACTTTCTCTCAAGTCTCTTCTTTTCTTGTGCAGTATAAAGCTCAAAACTCGTCTATTTTTTTGGGGTGGTGGGTTCTCAGCTTTCCAAATGCTAAACTTATATGCACAGTGGAAACAAATCCTTATCCTATATGTCTGCCCACTACCCTGCCTCCAAATGCTGCCTTAATTATTTATATATTATATGGTCTGTCCAATTTGCTTAATACTTGGATGGCTACTATTTTTTCCCAATCATAAGGATATCAAATGCGAACATGAAAAAATAACCCATAGTTGCCACCTACATCAAACCGCAAAGTTTGTTTAAATATATTTATAGAATATATAGAAATCATTTATTTAAGTGATGATTATCTCTTTTTTATTTTGTCTTTGTTGATTGACGATGGTATGAACTTTAATATTGGTTGTCGACTGTCGGTATTTTTATTTTTTTCTTTTCTATATCGTATCTTTATTTTCTTTTATTTTTTGAGTTTCAAAAAGTTTGTCTTTGTTGCACATTTTCATCAGTCATGATTTATGACTGATCAAGATGGTGCTTATCTGATATATTGTGATCTTCTCTACTTTGGACACTCGAATTGGATTTGGATACCCGATGGGTTTGTGGATAGTTTTTCACGTCGCTCGAGTCTGATTTACGATTTGTCGGTGGTACTTCAATAGTTTGATCTCCTTTTGTGGTTCGTTTGCCGATACAATCAGATATGTTTGTATGTATCTTCGTTCGAGTTTCTTGGTTAGATTTAATCTTTTCTTGTATGGTTCTTATGGGATCTTAAGTTACCAATTTTGTTTCAATGGTTATGAAAAATATTTTTAATTATGTGCTTAATTTACGATTATGATTGTAAATCTTTATTGTAATTTGGGATATTTTTTATTTTAAATAAAATTAATTGTTTCTATAAAAAAAATCAATTTGTATAAAAATTTTGATTGATATGGAAATACATGTCAAATTCGAATTATTAAAAACGATAGTTGTTAAAGGCAACCATGTATGTCCTCACGTACCCACAATTGCTGTCCACTTTGGATTTTTTTCCCTTTTGGGAAATTTTACGTAATGAACATATGGATTAATAAACTAAAGAAGAAAAGATGTTTGATTAACTTGGATTATTGAATCTTTTGTTATGAATATATAAATAAAAGTGGTTTGTCAAGTCGTATGGATGATGATTTGGATAATGTATGGTGTTAACCAGCAATTCCTGGAATGATCAAAAGCAATTGATATTCTTTCGCGAACTCGAGTTGAACGTGACCAATTAATGGAATACCAACACAAGATCAGGGTTTTTCTTTAATCACCATATAGGTCGCAGCTAAGTTGTTACCTAACCAATTTGTCAATGTGTCGTTATTGTTATATGTGTTTTTACGTTAGCGTTGATGGTGTTTATCTTTCACCATCAATTGTAATATTTATTTGCATCTATTTTTTTTTAATAGTCTAAGGTGATTATAATGAGATTATAAATTATCAATTAAAAATTAAATATTAAACATCACTAAAATGCATTTATGAAAGGAACCGGTGATTAGAGTTACTGGGTGAACCAGGAGTGGCGTCAGGGGTTTGCCTCAAATTCTGTTTAATTTTATTTGAAATTCGTAAAATTATAAACAGATGGATTATTCTGTAATTCAAACTATGCCATGATTATGAGCTTTATTCTAGACCGTTCGATGAGCTCCATCACTCTAGTGCCAAACATTCAAGTGCGATTACACCTCAGGAAAAAAGAAATAATAATAATAAAAATAATGGCCTTTGGATCCAGAAAACGGATCTGATGGGGGCAAGTGGGTTAGCTATTTTCTCTTTGATTTTACGTACGTATGGGATGGGATGTCCGTTCACATGAAGCCTTCTGTTACCGTGCAGGATTCCATCCCCTCCACTCATCCAATAATTAGTCTTAGGCACTTTCATGATTAATAATTTATGGTTATTAATACGCTAACATAAGCTCACGGCAAAGTTTAATTAATTACATGCAAAACAAAAAATCACATTCAAAATCTTAAATACCCATACGTGTTCAAATATATATATATATATATATATATCATTGCATTCATTGTATTATTTTTTGGATTTATATGACTCTATACTTGTATTTAAACAATATATTTATTCTATTTTCCTATCACAAATCTTACTACGTAAGGACAGATGAAGATTGACGAGCATCATCACTTTTCAGAAAATTTTAAATTTTCATATAATTTAAATATTTGTAATTTTTTATGACAAAATTCTATGTAGTTTTATTTGATTGGGTTTTTTTATGAGTTTGCATGGGAAGTTCTGGTGTGACCCAATGAAGTGTGAGTTGTAAACTTTAATAACCACATGGTGGGCGGCACATCATAAAGGGGACATTAATAGGACCCAGTCATGGGAGTATATTGTAATATTACATGTACTAGGAAAAAAAATATGTAAGGTTAATTATGTGATATGTAGGGGGTTGATTTGGTAGAAATTAGGGGTGCTTGCATTAATTGAAGATCAGCCGTCCTATTTGGGATAATTAGGGCAACTGACTATTGGGGATGGGAGCTTATTTGGAAGTTTAATATCCCAAAGCTCTTTACCTATTTCCAATGAGTGATTCTAAAAGCTCACAACCATGGAGAAAACAACATTATAATCTTTTAATGCTGGCCATACATTAAAAATCAAATTATAATCCTATTTAACAAATCAAAAATCATTTACTTAATTAATTTATATGTTGTGCTAATCAGCAATTAAATTGATTTGTTCAGTTTGATTAATGTGCTAGAATAGATCATTAGTTAAACCAATAAATATGCTTATATTTTTTTTATTAAAAAAATGATTATAGAGTAATATCTATTCTAAATACCCTAAACCATTTACCTATTGAATGATCTAAATAAAAATTAATTATATCATGTCGAATAAGATTATACATAACAGATGATGAAATTCTCTAAAATATTTTAAATAATAAAATTCTCTAAAATACTAATATATATTAGTGTATTCCTAAGATCTCAAACGATCCAAACTTTGGTCAAACTGAAATATCACTTAAGAGTTAAATTTTAATATAATTAATTTATCATAATCATATATTCATAATTATGAAATGGAAAAAATGAAATTTTAAATATGTTTATATTTTGAATAAAACTGACCACACCTTCTTTGCCCTTTCCTCCTCTCCACCCACCTTTTCCATGGCTATAAATATGAACCCCGAGAACACTTCATAAACCGTGGGATTAAGAGTAAAGAGCTAGAGCATCACTTTGCTAACAACACATACTCTCTCTTTTAGGAGAACAAAATACTACACTGCATATACACACACACATACATACATACATACATCGTCATGGCTCTTCACCTCTCTTGGGTTTTCGTTTTTGGCATTTTAGGCAACGCTGTTTCATTCATGGTTTCCTTGGCTCCACTGTGAGTTTTCTTCTCAAACTCTCTTTTTCCCCCCATTGTTTTAGAGAGAATTTGTGTTATTAATGGAGGATTATTCTCAGGCCTACATTTTACCAAATATACAAAAAGAAAACATCGGAAGGTTTCCAGTCGATTCCGTATGTCGTATCGCTCTTCAGCGCGATGCTTTGGATTTACTATGCGCTGCTTAAGAAAGATGCTATGTTCCTCATCACCATCAACACTTTCTGCGTTTTCATTCAGATTTTTTACATCGTTACTTACTTTTACTATGGCCCCAAGAAGGAAAAGGTAACATCTCTTCATCCATCTACTGCTTCAAGTCTTCAACGTATATGTATACGTAAATATATCAGTGGAATGAATCAAATATGTGGAAATGGGTGAATTGCAGATTGTGACAGTGAAGCTTATGCTTCTCTTCAATGTTTTCGGATTCGGAGCTATCTTTCTCTCGACCTTCTTCCTACCAAACCCTTCCATACGTCTCTTAGTTTTGGGCTATATTTGTATGGCATTCGCTTTGTCAGTGTTTGCCGCGCCTCTCGCCATTGTGGTGAGGATTTCTGATAAATTTTTAACCCTGTTTATGTGTGTTATCATATGATTTATTGATAATATATGAAAAAATAATTTAATCGCCGATTTATTACAGAGAAAAGTGATTAAAACGAAGAGCGTGGAGTACATGCCATTTACTTTATCAGTGTTCCTCACCTTAGGAGCTGTTATGTGGTTCTTCTATGGCCTTTTGTTGAAAGACATGAACATTGCCGTACGTTACCTCATAAAATCAATTTATTTAGACATTGTTTCTTCTTCTTCTTCCAATTTCTAATGATGGTGGAATCGAAATCAACAGGTTCCAAACATTTTGGGATTCATCTTTGGAGTTCTTCAAATGATACTTTATGCAGTATACAGAAAACATCCCAAGAAAACGATTGAAGAATCCGATCCAAAGCTTCAATTATCGAACCACTCGACCGTCGTCGATGCTACCAAGCTCGGCTCCAATGTATGCTCGGATGTACACGTCTTCGTTCCTCAACTGATCTACTCGAACAACAACAACAACAACAATGGAAGGGATGATGCTTTGAACAAAGTTTAAAAAAAGTTAATGCACATTGTGGTGTGGGTGCTATGAAAAGCGGTTTCCACTTAGAGATGTCTTGAGCATAATTACGTGTTTAATTTTGCATGGGAAAACCTGAGATGTAGTTAACCCATGCAAAAAGATAGCTTTATTTTCAAAAAGAATAATGTCGTTTAATTGCTTTTTCTTTCCGGTAAACACCGTGAAATCTTTGTCTCTCTTTCTCATCTCATATGTATTCTGCAATTTGCTCCATGGATACTATTTTATTAATGACATGTCTATATTCCATATTTATCATATTCTGATTTCGTCTGGATGATCTTTCATAGATTAGTTTTAAAATATTATAATATATATAAACATCAAAACAAACCATAGTTATAATATGTATCATAGAATTTGATTTTAATTCGAATGTAATTTTCAGTATATAATTATGTTGTGATAAACATGGGTGGGGTGACTCTTTTTTCCCTCCCATTTTCTTAGGGTTTTATCCTAGCTCATCCAGATCGACCTGTGTTGTGCACTTGGTATTGGTGGATGAGTCTTCCAACGAGAATTTTGTGCATACATAAAGATTCGAATTCGATGTCTGCTTAAGCGATTTCAAGCTGCTTATTACTTGAACCAACCTATTGATGGTGGAGTCATGCTTTAGATATATTGACATTCAATTTTATTTAAAATAGATTATATAAAATTTTATAAAAACAAAATTAAAATATTTTAAAATAATGTTAATATTATTTTAAATTTTATTTTTTTTAAAAAAATTATAATCATTATAATACATATACATCTTTCAAACATAATTATTTAAATTCGAGAGCTTGAAAAAAATATAATGTTATAATCTTTTAGCCTATCATTCCCGTTAAAAGTGCATTAAATCTTCAATTAGCACACGTTTAAACTCTAAACAATCCCATATTTCTATCTCTTCTTATATATATATATACATAAAAGTAAACTTGCTTTAAGCCTTTTGCCTTTGGCCACTTGTTATCTTTTAGGTTAGGCAAAACAGAGAAAGAGGAGACTTTAATTTAGTGTTTCTTTGGGTCACTGATTTATTTTATTGTCGTTCTATTAGCGTTGTTTATTTTTTTTTCTCGACAGGAAAAAATTATTTATTAAAATCAGCCTATGTTAAGAGTCTCACTAAAAATCTTTCTGAACCTAGATGGAAGTGTAGACACTCATTTTCGTTCGTATTTTTATTTTATATATATATATGCTAATGGTTTTTGAAATAGATGTATAATATATAGTTTTTAAAAAAAAGCATATTGGAAAACATATATATTATATATTTAAAAAAAACATTTTGGAAATATATATATAATTTTTGAAAACATTTTAAAAATATATATAATATATGATTTTAAAAAAAAAACGGTTTGAAAAATATTTATAAGATATAGTTTTTAAAACATTTTAAAAACTATATATTATATGATTTTGAAAACATTTTTTTTAGAAAGTATGTATATAATATATAATTTTAAAATATTATTCGAAAATATATATTATATGATTTTAAAAATACATTTTAAAACATATATTATATATTTTTTTTAAATGTTCCTTTTTATTTTATTTATTTATTTTTATTTTTTAATTTTTCTTTTTCAGGACCAAATGGGTTCATTGTTCAAGTCTGGTCCATCAGATGTCCAACCAGCTTCAGGCTTGAAGCAGCCCAGCAGGAGTCTAGCGTTTCCACATTCAAGATCTGGCGCCGTACAACAGGGGACCGTTGGATCAACAAAAAGATCAACGGCCAGCATAGCAAGGGAATTAAGGTTTATTTAACCCACAAATAATCATCACTCCGCGGCCAGATCTGGACCGTTGGATCTGACCCAATCCAACGGTCAAGATCAAGTCAAAGGTTCCAGAAAGCAAGTTACGCCACCAACAGCAGTCAAGAAACCACGCACCGGTCACCGGGATTTTCGGCCGAGGGGATCGGGACTGACCCATCCCGAAATCACCGGCCAACCAACCACGATCCCGAGATCGTCGGGGCTCACAACGGCCGGTGGGGGGTTATAAAAACCCACGACCAACACAGTACCAGGGGACCACGATCGAGCAAACAGAAAATCAAACAGAGGCAACGGTGAGACCACAACCAAACATCACCAGGGGATCTACACCAAACCGCCAACAAACGGCCAGAAACCAAAAAGCCATACCACAGCAAACAAACGAGAACAACCACCAACACAACAACCTCGACCACAATACCAAACCAAGAAACCAACAGTAAAAAACCGAAGCGAAATACGACAGAAAAATCAAAACAAAACACAAAGCACATCATACACCAACAAAAACGAGAAAAGCCGAAGCCTTTCTCTCATCAACAAGAGCGAAGAGCGGCACCGGAGAGGACGGAACCATCGGAAGACGAACCGTCCGATGAAAGAGGGGTAAAAACCGAAGCCCTATTTTATAGATCTACGTCGAAGAGAACAATTTTAGGTGGTTTTGGGTTCGGATCCGGGCTCTCGAGGGTAAGACGAGCGCTTTGGGTGTTTTGGGTTTGCTCGGCCACCGCCGACGACGGCCGGCGCGGTGGCCGGAAATCGCCAAGGGAGGGCTGGGCGAGAATGTTTCTCTCGGTTGAGAGAGATGATAACTTTCTGAAAATGTTAAAAATGAAGGGGATAGGGGCTTGTTTGGGCATTTATATACGGAGGACCATTATGCAATTAGGGGAAAGTTTAATTCGCTCCGTCGTCCCCGAACATTTGGATCGCTTTTACAATCTGGTCACTGTATGCAATTTGGCCTTTGGATTTTCAATTTATTCGATTTAGTCACTGTTTACACTTTTATATTTTTTGCAAAATCATCCCCTAATTTTGTTTCCCTTCTAATCTGATCCTTTTATTTTTTATTATTTTCATTTTCATTTTCATTTTATTTGTTATGTTTTTTGTTTATACGATATTATATATATTTATTTTATCTTTATTTTATTTTAATCCTTTCGTTATTTTTATTATTTTTCATTTGTTTATAGTATTTGTTTTCCTACTTTGTTTATACGTATTTACATGTATATATATATATATTCTTATTTATATTATAATTGTTATTATTATTATTCATTATTATTAACGCTTATAAATTTTTTTATTTCTTTTCCTGTATTATTATTATCATCATATATACTCTTTTTTTATCTTGTTTATTTTAATTACCCTTTTTTTTCTTTCTTTTTTCTAACAAATGTCCTGACTTTTTAAGGGTACGTCGTCCAGTCAATCAAAGGTAAGTGATTTGAATCGAGTTTCTAAATTTCAATTTAAATTTTTATTTTTTCGTAATTAAAGACAACCGATAAATTAATTGGTACCGAAAGGGCGGTTCAAGGGTGCTAATCCTTCCTTGATCATAACCGACTCCCGAACCCGACACATTTCTGGTACAATGCAGATCAGGTAAGATGGTGTCCGGCCCACCTAAATTTGTTTTAAAATGGTCGGTGGCGACTCTAACCCAATTCATTCAAGTCGAAGCCCAATTCCGGGGCCCAAACCGAAAGACGGTTTCGACAGCTTGGCGACTCTGCTGGGGATAGGTAAGTGAGTCAGGCCAGAATTAATTTTCAGTTATCTTTTTATGCGAAAATAGTAAATTTAAATTTAAATTTATTTATTCGATTCCAATTATTTACCTTTGATTATTTTTGAAATAAATAGTTGTACTAACATTTTTTTTCAATGATTTCAGATTTTTGAAAAGTTTCCATCTCTGGCTCTATACCCGAGCTTCGAACCCTTTTAAGTGGGGGTGAAAGCGACGTCTTTGTGTGAATTTATTCACCGTGCGGGCATAAGGGAATGTTTCCTCTCGAGTTTAACTTAGTCCACATAAGCTTGTAATGGGCTTAGGACTAAGGGTCTGGCAAGCCCAAGGGGCACCGGCAAGGAGAACTCGAGTACCTTTTTAGAACCTAAACCGGAAGAGTACAGGGAATTAGAGCCCATCTCAAAACCTCATTCCAAACCCTAGGCTGCTTTGTTTCCTACTTTATTTTCTGTTCAAAGCATGTGAACTAGACAAATATGCGGTTATGATTTGTTTGAAATTAGCATGCGGGATAGAAATCATGTTCGGGTAGGAATTAAAGCATGCAGGGTAGATATCATGTGGGGTAGGATTTTTCATTCTTTTTATTGTTTTGATTTACCTCACTAACCCTTTTATTTTTTGTTCTCTTTTATTTTGTGTTCATCGTTTGCATCATTTAAAACGATGTGTTGATCCACCAAAAATGTGTTTGTTAAACATGAATAATTTGTATTAATGGACAAAGGGGTTATAATACAAAGAGATAAAAAGCTCAGAAGTCCAGCCATGGTCAAATAATACTCAGAGGCAAAGGTTGCAGGGGCAAGACGAGGAAAATGTTGCTGACCCAGACGCTCCTTTTGAAAACTACGATAACAAGTGGCGAAACCCCAGCTAAGCTGCAGACCATTATTGACGAATTCTAGAAACAAGTCGATAAACTTCGGATAGAGGGCTCCAATGGCACTTTTGTTTGGATCAAGCTCGACATAGAGTGAAAGCCGGAGATGCAATCCTTCGAGACCCATTTTGGGGCAAGCAGCCCATCACTTGCACAAGTTTAGCTAAAGGAGCCGGAATGGTTCGACAGGATATTCAACCAGTGAAAACGACGAATCAACTTGTCAGAAGCTGTGCAGGATTTGTACCATCAAAAAAGTTTTTGTCTCCTCAAACGTAACACTTTTGTCACCAATAAGGGTTATTCAGAATAACAGTCACATTTTTTGGATCAGTGCCTCGGACATTTCATGCATCATATATTTAGACATTTTGCATTTTTTATTTTCTTCGCATTTTGTTATTTTCTTTGCATTCACATTAATTGACATAAACATGTCTCATCAGGGGGAGCAAATACTGGATACACCGCCTCAAGCATTGGACACACCCCATCCGCATAACACTCGTTTGAAGAAGAAGATGATGGAAGCCAGAATTACACAAATCGAGGAGAATATGTTGAAACTACAGAAAGAGCTAGAAGATAAGATAAACCAAAATAGTTGAAATACTCTAGAAACAATCACAAAGAACCAAGAGTCCTTGGTTGATCAGATCGTTGCCAAGTTAGTTAGCCTACAACAGACCAGTGCGCCTGGGGCAGGTTCACCGGAAGGGGTAACTATACAACCTACCCCGCAAGTGGTTATCTCACCTGAAATCTTACCAGAACTTCGAGGGGACTCATCTGCTACAAAAGCAAA